CAGTCCTCAATGCAAGGGGTTTTGCATCAATTTAGACTTCCTCAGACTTGCAGTTGTGTGCCAGCATGTAATTGCCATCCTTTCTAATTTTGGTCCAAAGACAGTAGCAAGAACTGGAATTTAAAAGCATCTTGGAGAAAGTGTAGATGGTAGACAAGATAAATGAGGCCATCCTAGAAATGAAAGCACTGGGTCGATAGGTGATTAGGGGTCAAGACTGGGGGGACTAAGAAAAGGATTGTTAGGATGGAGACTATGTAGGAAGGCAATGCAAACCGGGCCAGAAAGCACTGAATTTAGAAAGAACGTTCTAGACTGCGGACAGGACGGATTTTTTTTTTTTACATATATTTTTTTCTTTGGTAAATGTCAATCCTTCAGAAGTGTAACAGGAATAGTTTCTCAACTCCAGTTTGGACTGCTGACTAAAAAAAGAGATAAGGGAAAGACCTTCCTAGCTCAGATTACTCACACACCTGAGATGCCGTAAATACAGATTCAAGTTCCCACTTCAAAGAAGTATTCTTTGAAGTGGGAACTTGAATCTGTATTTACGGCATCTCACAGTATTTAAATGGCTTAGACAAATAGGGGAGTTTCAATAGGAGAGACTGGAAACTGTCAAGTCCCTCTAGGCAGTTAGGGAGTCATTAGGATGTGGGAGAGTGAGGTTCATATTTGTCAGCTGAATGAGGTAGAGCAGGGATTCGGCAGGTACTTCATATCCCACAGAATAATCCACAAACTGTCACAGCTTTGCAAAAAATAGAGCAGAAATGGGATTTTAGGTCCCTAGCAGACATACAAGTGACGGTGTGATGAGAGTCTGATGCAGGATCCCCACAATTGTGCTTTCTGCCATGCCACATGTGCATGGCAAGACGACAGGCTTATGGGATCGGGGCTCCCAGATCCAGGGGCGCAAAAGGGTCACTTGTGGCTGGGAGCCCTCAGCTGATGGGGCTCCCAGCCACTGGGGCACACCCCATGGCTGGGAGCACCAGCCTGGCCACACGTTCAATTAATGGCTTCATAGGAACCAGCCACAAAGTTCTTATTCATTTGTTGTGTTGCCTGTTGTTTTATCATGCCATTAATTGAATTAATGCGTGGCCAGAGAACAACCAAAGAGGTGCTTAACAGATTACTCATGTCTTCAGCATAACGTGTGCCAGGGGCCTTAAGAGTACAGTGTTAAGAAATTCAGGAAGAAAGAATTGCCTGCACTGGCCAGGCCTGTGCATAGCGGCACCAGTGAGAGGGAGGCAGGAACCTCTCCCCTTTGTACCTACAGCCATGGTCATTTACACGGCTCATCCAGTCCTTTTATTGCTAACTGTATTTGAGGGTTTTTCTGCATCCCAATGTAATGTAACCTAATGTAGATCATTCACCACACAGTGGAGAGGTCTTTTCAGGCCTTCAGCTTTAACGAGGAACATAGGAGATGCATATCCTTGTGAATCTCTCTGCCACAGGTAGGTTCTGTGGCTTTAATTATTTTTTTTAATCTGCAATTATAAAATGCTAATTGGTAAAATGTAACAGTATATTAAACTGCAATTATATTTAATAGCTAAACAGAATACCACATTAGAGAGAATGAACTTCCAGTCTTAACATGGAGCTACGCACAATCAGGCAATTTCGGTAACTCTTTAAAATGAATGAAAGGGAAACTGTTCTTTAGGTAATACTGAAAGATAAAGACATGGATAGAGAAAGGAGTGATGGAGGCTCGGAGTACTAGGGGGACAGTCCTGGGATTGTCCCACAAATGGAAATGCAGATAAAGGGCCACATTCTGGTTAACAACTAGAAAAAAAAATGATAGTTCTCAAACAGGGACTCGTTCTTAAACAGGGACTCGTAGCTCAGCCCAGCAAGGAGCTAAGCACTGGGGCTGTGCGAAGCTTCGGTCCCTGATTTGATTTGGTGGTGATTTAGCCCGATTCGGTGGCCAAACCTCCAAATCTGAATCAAATCAGGAGACCATTTAATCTCTCTGAATTGAATCAGAACCCTCCGAATCAATTCAGAGAGATTTGGAAAGATTCGGCAATTCAATTATAGACACAGCTTTAAATGTTATTTCTACATACCTCAAGGTAGCAGGCAGCTTGTGAATGCTCCAGTACTGGGGCGTATGGAGTGTCCCACAGGAGCGTGGGGGGCTCCCCAGCGCTCTTGGCAGCAGACCCAGAAGTGGACCAGAAGCACTTCTGGTTGACTTCCGGGTCCACTGGGGAGCACGCAGGGGACCCCCCCACGCCTCCCTGGCTCAGTGACTGGTGCCTCCTGGGTCTGGGGGGGCACCCAGGGTCCCCCTGCAGCCGATTGCCAAGCTGGCGGAGGGTGGGGGTGGCCCCCAGCGCGTTGCGTGACAGACCCCAGGTTTGCCACCGAGCACGCAGGGGGCTCCCCCGCGCTCCTGTAGAACGCTCCATCCGCCCCACCGTCGCAGCACTCATGAGCCATGCCTGGTATCTCAAGGTATGTAGAAAAAACATATAAAGCTATGTCTATGGCTGAATCGCTGATTCTCCAAATCAGCATTGAATCTTCAGATTCGGATTTGGCCGAATCGAATCAAGGACAGCGATCTGAATCAACGAATCAAATCACTGTCTCCAGTTCGGGCTGAATCCGAAGTGAATATGGCCCGTTTTTCACCCCTCTACTAAGCACTGTGCTCCTCACCACAGAGCACTGAGGCCCATATGGCCTGATTCTGCACCACCAAAATCAGTCCAAGCTTTGTTGTGGACTTCAGGGGGTGCATTATCAAGCTGATTCTGAAATCAACAGGAGGATGTCTGGGCTTGAAGCTAAGCATGACACATGTTTGCTAGACTGGGGCCATGTGCTGCATAGCAGTATTCATCAGGAGGAGGCCAGATTCATAGTAAAGTCTGGGCTCAGTCATGAGAGCCTTGCTGAGGCCAGTTGTCACTCAGAAAAAAACAAGGCAGAATAGGAATTGATCATGGTTTAGAGGTCTGCTCATAGCTGAAATAACCATGGAGTGATGGCGTATGAGAGTAAAACATCATGTTACAGTCAAATGATCTCTATACCCGCATATTTAGGTCACAATCCATACTAGGCTGGCCCAGAACTATGACATAGTTAAATATTACATAGCGGAGACTCTGCTCACCAGTCTCTACCAAGAAAAACTCCAGTTGACTTTACAGCAGTGAGGACTGTTGGGTTCCAATTCTTATTTGCATTAAGCTTCTTGCATGGTTTTGATGATGTAAAGTGGCCTAAAAGTGCATGGAAATGCATTTATTCCCACTTTAAGGTACCTTTGCATCGCTTATCTGAACTCTTATCTTGCACACTTTCCACATCCTTGTCACTGTTCCCAGTAGCATGCTTAATAAATTTTATAGGTCCAATCTTCAAACATTTAGGGGTTCAAATACATGTTCAATTACATGCCCAATTTGCACCTGTAGTTACTATGACTGAATGTAGAAATCCTATGGGCCTAATTGTGGTGCTGATGCCTACATCTACCTGCAGTTCCAGTAAGTGAATGCATAGGCAGCTGCAAACTGAAAGAAGAGAGTCACCCAGCCCCATCACTCTACTTTTTTCCCCCTCTCTGTAAAACTTCAAAATCATATCACACTTCTTTAAAAAGAGAATCATTTTAGTCCAGTTCTCAAGAGAGTTGACAGTGTTTATTGCCACTTAAGAAAATGACAATCAAAATGGTTATGTTTTAGTTTGGGGAAATTGAATTGCATAAATAACATCTTGGATACTTTGGGGAAATGTCTCTTCCAGTAGAGGTGACAGGCAAAAGTATTCTTATGCTTTTGTAATGAAAGCCTTCAGCCTGCTCCTACTTCAGGAAGGGAAGGGCCCACTGGGGTGACACACTAAGACGTAGCCAGCCTTATTCTGAATTCCAGACCATTATAGAGGAGCGGAGTTACTCCATTAAAAGCCACGGGAGCAAGATCTGAATCGAAGTCTGGTGTCTAGAGTGAATATGCAGCATATGGGATCTAGTACAACCCAAGCCAAGTTCACATAACATGGCATAGCCTCATAAAAGATTTAATGTGACACCGGGTAACATGCACTGTTATGCATTTTAAAGAGCATCAGTGACAGCAAGAGTTTACTTTTCCCTTAATGCATTTCTGTTTGGTTTTTTCTGTAATTTACTGTTTTCTTTTCTTTTTTAGCCCAATAAATCTGTCCATAGCAACTGTCTCTGGCATAGGTCTGGGCTATTTCACTTTGATTAAAATCCAGCTGCTAATGGGCTATGTGACCATTTTGTTCAGAGGTTTGGTTTAAATGAACCATATTTTTAATTATTAAAAAAGTGTAATTCTTTTTTTATGGTTTTAAAGAACCCAGAAGGCCAATTTGTAGCTTCGAAGCACAGATGAAAAGCAGACCTGCCCTGTACATTCACTGCACTGCCTTTAGGAGGAGGGAATTTTCACTCCTTGCCAGCTTCACAGGGCAGCGGTGAAATGGCCTCAGCTACATCCTTGCCCATTACCTTTACAATGACTAGTACCTCAAAGGGCATCACCACTCAGCACAGTCAAGCTAATATATCAACTCAGAAGATAATTTGTCACATTTAAGGATCTAGACTATTTAAAGACTTTGATTTTCTTTAACAGTAGTAAGGATTGGATGATTTAAATTGTCTAAGGGACTTGAAACCCTGAAATGTTCATTTTGTAATGGATTCTTAAACAGATTCATACCTGTAATTGTTTGTAAAATCAAATATTTCACCTCTCTTATGGTAATGCCCAGTATTTGAAATGGCTGAAACATTAAGCCTGGTGAATAATTATTTTGTTCTTTTGGTTATTTTTTTTCTGGATAAATGATGAAATAAGCTGGAACCTTTGATGTTGACTGTCTGGATGTTTTCTGTCTCCGGGAAAGAGAGAAATAATCTGTCTTTTGATTTTGTTTGTAAATTCATTGCTGGATTCTGTTTTCTTTTGTGACAGCAAATGGTACATCAAGCAGTCAGCTCTCTACACCCAAATCCAAGCAGTCTCCAATCTCCACACCAACCAGTCCAGGGAGCCTCCGTAAGCACAAGGTATTACGTTTCTTATACCTTACTAAATCTAGTTCTCTTTGTACCTGGACATATAAAGAAATGGCTTAAGTCAGGGTCACATTGTTGGTTAAACTGGCAGAGAATTGCCCTGTCACTAAGAATTTTTGTTACGCCTAATATAGTAATTAGGTGTCTATTTTAGAGGCATAGATAGTAATCTATGTTGTACATCCCTAGTATAGATCAGAGCAGATGACTGTGCCCTCAACATGGGTCAGCCTTTGTACGAGTTTCTGGTCTAGTGATGGGCTCATTCATTATATACAGTCATCTAATATTTCTGGCTTGATAGGCTCACAGCACACCATTCTGGCCTATTAAACAAGGAAAGAAATCTGAATATTAGTGAAGTTATAAGGATTGATTTTAACATTATCCTCAAAAGTATTCGAATATCAACTTTAACTCATTCTATCTTATGGGCAATAAATTACCAGGTAATTATTTTCTTGTGCAGGTATGATAATTGCTTTCCCTGGTTATGTTCTCTAGCTTACCAAACTATCTGAAAGATAGCAAGGTGTCTATGAACTTGTGTGCTTTTCATCTATGACCACAAATGGACCTTTTCTTCAGGGGACCATCTCTAAGAAAACTGTGCATAGTGATTGGTTCTGCTGCTCAGCTACCCTTATGATTGTGTCCAGTTTGTCCTTCCCACTGGCTTCCTCTGATGCCTTTTCTGAGCTAACTGCCCTACAGACTAAGTTGTTCTTGAAGAGGACTTCAGTCAGTGTTAAACATATCTTTAATATAATATAATGGCTGAAATCCTGGCCCAGCAAAATCAATGGGCATTTTGCTATTGACTTCAGCATGGCCAAGATTTCAGCCAATCAGAACTCTTCATGACCTCATTCTCTGCAACGCACAATCGGGTGGTTTGCTTAGTATCTCTCGTGTTCACAGTGCTAGAAAAACTGCTATCATTAGGGAGTCACTTGGTCAAATGACTACTATATATTTTTGAAAGCATCCGAGTTAAAGGATTTTCCTACTAATTGCACTGCAACTTATATTAACAGTAGGAGTTTCTTCTTCCAACTGATTGTGTTCTTCAGGTTTATGTGGCACCATTTCTAAAAACAGAGAGCAAATAAATCATTAATTGTTTTATTTGAGGTATCTTACCCTGCCTTGGAAATCATATGCTTTCATTTAACAAACAGAGCATCTCTGTCAGCCAGAAGCAGCATTCAGTGATACCAGATAAAAATAAGACCTGAGAATCAAAAAGACCATTAGGGTGCCAAGGTTTACTATTACACCTTGCTTATTATGAGACCTCATGCAAGCCTCACTCATTTTGAATAGTCCCTTTGGGCACGTCCCATACACTTGTAGGGAGCCTGCTCCGACACGCTGTAATTCCAGACTTGATTAATCGAGTCTGCTGGAGCATGGGAATTAATGTTCTCCAGCAGCCTCCAGCGTCATGTGTATCAGTGTCCCCATGCTGAAAAATGGTGGTGGGGCGCTTTAAACTAAAGCTGGTTCAAGAAGATTTAGTTTAAAGCAACCCACTACCATTTTTCAGTGCCAGAACTCTAATACATGTGACACTCCGGGTGCTTTTAATTATGCAGCTCTCGTAGCTGCACTAATTAAAGCACCCCCCCCCCCCCCCCCCCATGCCTCCCGGAGCATGTGTATAAATGCATTTTGATTTCATTTGACCTGTCCCAGCCATTATAAAGCATGTCTAAACCACAATCCCCCAGCAGGAGGGTTAAATGACTATGAAACACCACCAGAAACTGGAGCCTGGCTGGCCAGAGCCATTCTCTGGCTGCTGGCCAGTCTCTGACCAGCTGGCTCAGCACTGCTGCTGCCCTGGGAGGCCTCCAGGACCCCAGGTAAGGCTGCTGGGGCCAGCACAGGTGCTGCCCCCAGCCTCCCCTACCCCACCTGGGATGTGCCTGGGGACAAATAGCAGTGGCACAAATATGTGCCACTGGTTTTTGTCCCACAGGAAATGTGCACCCCTGCACATGCGCACTTGTCAGGATGTAATCCTATAGTTGTGCAGCCTCCAAGTTTTGTTTGCCTTGTTTAGCAAAACCATGCCTCAATCTACATTTGCCTCACCAACGTTTCCCTCAAGTTTGTTTTCTGATCTCAGCTGCTCAGTGGAACTAACACTTACTTCATTGGAATTACTCAAGAGTTATGCCGGTGTATTCAGAACAGAATCTGACCCACAGTCTGCATCCAGTAGTGGCTTACATGTATTTAGGGATCTTACTTATCAAAGTAAGTTCTCCTTCATACTTCAATAATTAAGGATCTGAAAGTACTTTTCAAATACTGTAGAGTTTATGGTGCATTTGGGGAATGGGAATATTTTCTGCATGCTTTTAACTAAAATTATAAATTCACCACGTGTAATAGTTCATTTGTGTTCATTGGCTGGCCAACTCAGGGCCATTCCACTGAATTCCTACAAAAAATGTACAATTGCTGGTGATCACTGTGGGTGGATGATCAGTTATTGGCTCCTCCATGGACTTAAGCCAATCAGCAGACATGGATGTAACATGTTAGGTTACTTGAATATTCTTGCATCATTGTTTTCTTCCCAGGAGCTATTTCTAGTGTTTGATAAAGTAAAATCTTTTGTCTTTTCCTGAAGTTTAAAGAATTAAAGCTGAAGACGCTGTTCACTATATATATTCTAGTGAGAATTCCCTACCCACTCGTTTTGAGCTGATTCTTTCAGTTTGTTCATTTTTTGGTGTGTCATATCCCCTTTCTGTACATAACACTGTGTTCAGTAAGGAAGAAGGAGGGCTCTGACATTCCCAGGGATGGTTTGAATACATAAATTCTTATATTATGCAGGAGATGAAACCAAATCAAAACTCCAGAGAAGAATACTGGATAATAAGGGCGTGCGAAATGGACCCTGTTCGATTCAGATTCATCCCGAATCGGGGACAGTGATTTGATTTGTTGATTCAGATCCCTGTACCCGATTCGATTTGGTCAAATCTGAATCTGAAGATTCGATGCTGATTCAGATAATCAGTGATTTGGCCATAGACACAGCTTTAAATGTTTTTTTCTACATGCCTCGAAATAGCAAGCATGACTCGTGATTGTTGCGATGCTGGGGTGGATGGAGCGTCCCACAGAAGCACGGGGGCCCCCCAACGTGCTTGGCAGCAAACCTAGAAGTGGACCAGAAGTACTTCCAGTCCGCTTCTGGGTCCGCCATGGGGACCCCCACGCCCCCCCAGCTCAGCGATCAGCCACGGGGGGACCCTGGGTACCACCCCCCCAGACCCAGAAGGCACCAGTCACTGAGCCGGAGAGGGTGCAGGGGGCCCCCCCCAGCGCACTCTCCAGTGGACCCGGAAGTGGATTGTAAATACTTCTGGTCCACTTCCAGGTTTGCTGTTGAGTGCGCTGGGGGGCCCCCCACACTTCTGTGGGACACTCCATGTGCCTCAGCATCGCAGCATTCATGAGCCGCCTTCTGCCTTGAGATATGTAGAAAAAACATTTAAAGCTGCATCTGTCCGAATCTCCGAATCTCTCCGAATCGATTCAGAGGGTTCCGATTTGATTTGGAGACATTAAAGGGTCCTCTGATTCGATTTGGATTCAGAGATTCGACCACCAAATCAGGCCAGATCTCCCCCAAATCAAGTCAGAGACCGAAGCTTTGCACAGCCCTACTGGATAGGTTTAGACCCAGAGCCAGATCCAAGTTTTGCAGCCTGGACTCATTTCTAAACCCGTGGTTCATAAAGAGCTGCAATGACTTAAAACATGGGCCATATCATGAAACACCTCAGGTTCTTGTCAACTTTCTAGAGAGAGCCGTGCTAGAGAAGTGACCAAGGCGCAGCTGTCACATAGGGATGAGACTCTTTACTGTGGACCTAAAATAAACTGACCTGTTTAACAAAAGATCCTCTGCATTCATGCACAGTGTTAAATAGATAGACACTGACTGTGAAGTGGCTGAAAGGTTTTCTCTCTGATTGTCACTGAAAATCAGTCTGCCGTTTTTTTACTGAGACCTCCCCACCCCCCTTTCCCCACTGTGCAAATGCTTTTGTTGTAAATCATGGCTGATTCTAATAATTGGTTTGTCTATTCAGTCTCCCATCAAGGAGACTTCCACCCTGTTCCTAGGCCCTTCAGTGAACTGAATCAGGGAGCTGTCTCCTTGTTGCTGGAACCCGAGTGTGGGGATTAACATTTTGTCCTTTCCTCTTACAGGACTTGTACCTGCCTCTGTCTTTGGACGACTCTGATTCTCTTGGGGATTCCATGTAAAGGAACACAATGCCAACTGTCCGTGCTACAAGCTCTGTTAAAAATACAGTACAGTACTTCTGCCAAATGAAGCAGATAGGTGACTGGGTGCTTTCAAATCAATCAAAGGACACACAGTTCTATGTAATTTTTTTTTTCTGTGATTTATCTTCTGTGCCACAAATCAACACTTATCAACTTATAGGGATAGAGTGATACCATTCTGCTGGATAACTTTACAGGGATGCATAAGGGGCATTGCCAGCAATCTCAGGCTAACATGCCAGTGATTTCCCCTTCTCTTGTATTAGTTCTTCTTCTGCTCTAACTGCATTAATTTATTATTGGCTGTAGAGACATTGATAGCTCCCTACTAGTTCTACAGAAGTGAATCCTGTTGATTATTCTAAAGCTAAAAGAAAACGAATGTCCTTTTCTACCTTCTCACAATGCTGATGAATACTAGCAGCTCTGTGACTGCAGATCTGCTTCTCATTTTGTGTCTGATTTTCACACATGCGTACTCTCTATTGTCAATGTCTGTTGCTGAATAGCAGGAAAGGAAATGGCTTATTACCATAAGAGGCTTAGGATGCCAGCAGAATGTGGAACAAAGAATATTGGACCAGTTTCAGAAATGCTGCCTAAGACAGTGAGCAAAGTTTGTATAGCACAATGATGACATCATAAATTTAGATATTGGGACATTTCTAATAAGTAAGCTGAGATATATATGTCAGTTGAGTGTCTGGCATGAACCAGATTTATCATAAAACCCAAAGATAATGCTGGCTGATAATAAGTTATTATATCTACTGCATGGTATCTCTCTATCTCTGCTTATAATCTTAATGCCTTGTAAACATCCAACGCTGAAAACACTGTGAGAATTTGTTTTCAGGTCTGACACCTCTAGGTCGCTTTTTATAGCAAGAAATCAATACACTTTTTATAAGAAAAGAACTTGTATCTGTGTTTTAGGAGTAAGTATTCAAGCTCCTTCTTTTTTATAAAAGCTGGTAATTTTCTTTTGTTTAAAAAACACATTAAGGAAAAAAATTACAAAAAAACAACTACTGCAAACTACTAATAATAACAACTTAGTTTAGAAATCTTGTTGTCACTGCCAAACAGGCACTTGCAGGAAAAAAGGAAGTCGATTTGAAATAATGAATGTTTTGATAGTTTTTGTAATGTTTAAGCTAGCATTTTTAAGGTTTTTCTTTACATTTCAATACTCCTAACTATGGCCAGATGCTCTACTTATATTACAGATGGAACTTTGAGGTGTTCAAAGAAACTCTTCTAGCAGAAAAGAAAAAACTCTTAGGGGATTTAGTGAAAATCATCACTTTTATTAATCAGTAATGAATCCTACGGGACTCATCGATATATTCCACAGAGCTGGTGGTTTTTACTATGCCTAAACTGTAATGGTATAGGCTAGTTGGTATTGCCTCTGTTTCTTACGGAATAAGCTTTCAGCGAGACTGACTACTACAGAACCGGACCCGGATGAAGTCCTTGCAAACAAATGTTTTGTGTTGCTCTCTTTTACATTCTTTCAGCACATATGCAGATTTCCGTATTTCTTTTCAATCCCTTTGAGTAGAATGAATTATGGAGTCGTGGTGTTTGATGCCACATGAATAACTTAGCTAGAAGATGATTTGGTTTCATTCCTTTCAGAAGCCACTTTGTATTTTATTAGTTTGCATTGCTACTATTAACACTCTGTACAGGCTGCGTTTTTTTTTTTAAATTCACATGACGATACATACAATATATAAAAGCAAGCTGCAGCTGAGATGATCCAAAAGAAGACGATTTGGAATTACCGAGGGATTGGAGTTATTTTATACCAAATTTTCACCCAGTAGTCTTAGGTGCAAACATTTGTTCCTAGGGTTTTTCCCAAGAAATGATTTGTGCACCTACAAACAGCTGAATTTAGATGTGTAACTCCCTGGCCACATGACTGAGAGTTGGATATTTGACCTACTGCATCAAGACACCTGAATGCAGTTTAGAGAGGTGAAGATTCACGTTCCCCCATAGTGAAAGCTCTGTATTAAAGAAAGATGGCCGTGGAGACAAAGCACAGTTGTGGCAGTCAGGAATCCAAAGTTCAATACTCAGCTAGATTTTGTGTATGAACTGGAGCAGGTCTCCATTTTTCTGTGCCTCTATAGCTGTCTGTACCAGGAGGATAATAACACTGCTCTACCTCACGGGAGGTTTGTGAGGCCACATATTCACTGAAGTTGGAAAAGGGCTTTCAGATTCTCTGATGCTGAAGAACAGCAAGGAGTAGTTGTATGTGGACAAAGGTTTTTTGGGGTGTATATTCACATGGGTACTAAATTAGAGACCCTTCTTGAAAATATGGCTTTTTAAGTAGAAAGATAGCATAGACTGTGATTTGTTTCTGCAAAGTATACTATTAAATCTAGGGCCTTTCTTTCAACAATGAGAAGACACGTTTGCCTTTGACACAACAAAAACATGACCATCCTTTCCCCTTCTCCTCCATTTCCCTGTTGGGGGAATCTTGAGGATCCCCACCAGTCTTTCACTTCCAGCCCTTCTAGAGATCCTGCTCTGAACGGTAGCCACCATCTTACTTGCTCAAGTTGACTAACCAGGAACTGAGTGACAATGACAATTGTTAATTAGACAGGGGACATGTTACCTGAGTGATGCAAGGTGCTCCTTCTGTATCCATGGTCCAAAGTGCCTTGCTGCCCATCTCCTAGACCCTGTCAATCTAGGAAGCAAGAGGCCAGCTACAGCATTAAGTTTAGGGGCTTCCTTAACTGCAGAACAACTTATCAATAGCCTGCACATCCAGGCTGTCATATCTATAAGAGGTCTGAGGCATGTAGCTAATAGCAGTCCTGTACAGTGTTTAAAAATCTACTGGGAAATTACTTTTCTATTCTCCAGTATCCATCCAGGTCAGCTTGCCTGAGACAAAGCTGGAACCAATCTGGGTAACACTGATACAGAGGTAGATAGTTATCTTTGCACCTGCACCTACCATTTAGATAATGAGAAGAGCTCCTTCTACGGGAACTTTCTAAAGAACTGTTCCAAGCACTCCTCCTGGATTGTTCTTCAAAGCGACACATCACAGGACTTGCAAACTCTTACTTATAGGAGTGTCACTGTCACAAGGACTGCTCAGGAGCAAGGGCTGAGCTTGATGATCATTTTTGACCATATGATGCATCAGCAAGGGAATTTAGAGAGGCCTAAGCAAAGAAACCATTTTCTTCAGAGGGAAAAAATAGCCATTCAAACCAGCAAAAGCCACAAGTAAAACAGGGTAAGAGTTCAAACTCCCATGTTTTAGAAGCAATTTTCCAGGTAGAGATACCTGGACTGTAGGTAGAAGTCTGTGAGCATTTCAGATGTAACACATTGTTAGTCTGTCGTAATGCTGCTGTTGCATGAGTACTTGTACAGAAATGCATGTAGAATAGCGTACATACTGTGCGAGGTATCTTTGGCTTCACAGGATCCTGAAAACAGACAGTACAAAAAGAAATGAATTGCAGGCAGAATATTATAGTCATCAGAATGGGCCTGGTTCAGGAAAATAGCTAAGCGTGTGTTTAATTCCCTCTGACTTCAGCAGG